CACGCACACGCACAGCCATAGCCACAGGCACACACAGCCATAGGGACACACACACACACACACACACACACACACACACACACACACACACACACACACACACACACACACACACACACACACACACACACAATTCCTATCTAGTTTGCAAAGGGTTTTCAATCACTTTCCCTTTATAAAAGACAAGAAAAATGCACTCCTATCTGTTTGTTAATTTACGTATCCCCCCATTTTTTGTAAAATGTGCTAAATCGAAAAAAAACAAGGGAAAAACTTATCTGTAAAGAAGAAAAATGACATGACATGACATGACATGACACGCACGACAAAAGTCCCATTCCACTTAAACTGTTCTACTGCAAACCTATCTCTGACTGCCCCCCCCCCCACCTCCCCCCTGGACTCGCGTCTGTGGCACCGGCATTACAGCATCGCTGGTGCCGTTTACTTGTAGATAGTTGTGTAAGGCTTTTTAGTTATGCATGATCACCTTCACCTTGCTGCATGGCTCGCAGTAGCTGTACTGTCAAGCTTCGTTACCACGTTTCCACATATTTCTGCGTGGCCTCACATCATCACGATGACGACTGTATATATCATTCTTTTTTTTAATTTCTCTTGTCCGTTTTGGTTTGGTTATTTTGTACTTTCTTTTTTTTCTTTTTTTTGTTGTTGTCGTATTTTTTTCGTTTTATCTTTATTTCATTTTATTTCTTTCTACTTCATTCTTTTTACGTTTTTTTTTTTTTTGTTTTATTCCCATTCTCCCCCCCTTTTCTTCTCTCTCTCATTCTCTTTCTCTCTATATCTTTCTTTTAGTTTATTTTTCTTTCTGTAATTTGATTTCCTTTAGCCTTTCTCCTAATCATTCGATCCTCCAATCTACCCAATCATGTTTTTTTTTTTTTTTTTTTTTTTTTTTATTCAATGCATTTCTTATTTAGCAAAGGAAGCGACCGAGAAGGTTATGTGGAGACATCCCTTTAATTTACAAATTCTGGAAAATGGGCAATAAATTAATAAATAAACAAATGGGGGAATAAATACAAGAAATAGACGAAAGGAGAGAGATGCATTCACATACACTTCCTGTTCAGATGGGCTTTAAGCATGTCGCATGGTCTTTACCTAACATAGGGTATATTGCATTTTTTTTTTCTTCTTTTTTTTTGAAGTATTATTTTCATGCATATAAAATAACTTGTTTCGTTTGGAAGGGGCTTTTTTTTCTCTGCGAGTGTTGGTGTATTTTGCGCATTTATGTGACTAACATCTAACTTCGGAAGAATACATTTTCTGACGGTTCAATTTTTTTTTTTTCTTTATTTTATATATTGGCAGTTCTGTGGCACAGTTATGGTAATCTGGATATTTCCCCAAGCCTGTATTTAAGGCAAATTTTGGGGATGATATTGATAGAAGTCTACACTTACTTTTTATTAGATTTATGGTAACAAAAGCATAATGAATAAAAAAACGGCACTTTACCATTTTAAAACTAATATACAGAAAAGTAACGTCTTTCCCCTCTAATCTACGTTTTGTCTTAACTTCCTGTGAAGCACAAGAACAGAAACATAATTCCCTTTCTAAAAATAAAAGACACAAAATCCGTCTCGGCTTACCTGATCTGAGTCACGTGACCCGGATTTAGTTTGTAAAGCCGTCTGAGGTTATGTTTCGGTTGATCGAAGTTACACTATATGTTTCCAAAAAACATAATCCCATTTCTAAAAATCGACTTTTAAAATCTGTCCATCTGTTCAGTCTCGCCATGCGCATGACAACGATTATTACTGTATTTTAGTCGATCTTACGTGACCCGGACTTATCCTGTCATTGTTGGGGTTACGTTTCGGCTGATCGAAGTCATAACGTGTAATATGTTAAGATTTGTCATGATGCATAATTCAAAGTTTTCGACGTCACTGCTAAACACAGATCCTTAATTCTGCGAAACATGTGGCTGAAAGCACCTAAATATACACAAATAGGCAGAAAGACAAATACAACAACCAGTCAATTAAAAACTAAACGTATTAATAAACGTGTTGCCAACAGCTGCAGTCGCAATAGATCAGAATGTCGTTTACAGATAGTTTATTACCGTTACTACTGCATTTTACTTCTCTGTCTAGTCTTCATTTTATTAATTATTTATCTTTATCTATTTATCATTATTATTCTTTAGTTCTGCATCAGTTGGATTATCTGCACTTGTGACTTATATCTGTCTTATCAAGCGTGGGTGTGGCCGTGGCTCTAAAGGGAGACGATGGAGATAGAAGGAAGATGGGAGAGGGAGGAAAGGAAGGATAGAAGAGAATGGAAAGGAGAGAGAAATGAGGAGAATGAAAGGGGAATAGAGAAGAGGGGGGAGGGGAAGAGAATAGAGGGTGGAAGAGAGAGAGAGAGAGGGGAGGGTGAAAGGAAAAGAATTGAGGATGGAAGGGAGAGAGAGGGAAGACGGTGGAAGGGAGAAAGAAAGATGAGGATGGAAGAGAGAGAGAGAGAAGAGAATGGGAAGGAGGGGAAGTTGGTAGACTGAAAGAGAAGAAACAGGAATAAGAGTAAAGAATAAAGCATAGAGAACAGAGTGACGCGGGAAAGTAAAAAAAAAAAAAAAAAAAAAAAAAAATCGGAAAACACACGAAGTTCATGTCTAGCTGCTGTTTTGTCTCCATCCTCGTCCACCTGAGCTATTGCCACAACCCCCTGGTTCTTACCTTGAAAACTGTTCCCAACTCCCGGCATAATATCGATAAAGAAAGTCTAAAAAAAAAAAACGAGAATTGCCACCAAGGTCATCCTACAATACGGCCTGAATTGTAATAAATCTTGACAGAATAACAGGAAAAGTTGCTAAGCCAATGTCACTGCAGATATTTTCACGCAAGGGAGTTGGCATCAGCTGATAGTGCGGTACATCTAGAGTATTACAGTAAACTCGAGAGGTTCTCACTATCCGGGGTATGCATGTGTTCTCATGCTCATTCTCATTGTGGACAGACTCTTGTCTCTGAAAGGCTTATGTGTAGATATGAATGCGATGCTGTCTTTGCACTCTCCATATATGCTTCGGTGAATGACTGGACATCGACTTCGGTAATTAGCAAATGGCTGGCTAATAGAGGGGAGTTTAGATAATCCTTTTCCTTACGATATTTTTCTTAAATTAAGAGCCTCCTTAAAGAAGTGATTTGGTGTCAAATAACCGTTGTTGGCGTATATATGCGTTTGGTTTTTGTTTCTTTTTTTTGTCTCAAGGAACAAAATTCATGTGTAGTATTGAGTTTCCTTTTCTTTTTATATTTCTGATTGTATCGTATTAAAAGAAATGCGATAACTTTTTTTTTATATCGTCGCTATGATTGGTGTTTAAGCATTGCATTAAGACAACAATACCTTGTATGATGCATAGAAAAAAGTATAAGCTTGCATGTTCTCAAGACTTAAACACTACCAATTCCTCTTATATATAGTTTAAGATCCCCGATCAATATCCCAACTAGCCTTATGTAAAGAAAGCTTCACTCCCCAGCCACGAACCAAGCATCAGGCCTGGTCTAGTACTAAGTTCACTCCCCAGCCAAGAACCGGGCGTCACACCTGGCCTAATACTAAGATGTTAGCTCGACACGTGGTGTTATTTTGCACATTGCTCTTTCGCGTGGAGTGTTCTCTCAGCAAGAGACGGCGGCCAGGAGGCGTTGGTCGACCGTTGCGTGGCGCGCACAGGAGGCGTCGCCCGATCCGCCGCGCCGCCCAGACGCCTTCGACCGCCACAGCGTCTGCTTCTCTGAATGGTGTCTTAGACAGGCAGTCCCGTTTCTTACTCTAGGCCTATCATCTAAAAGTTGATATACAATTATTCCGCTGCCGCATGCTGGCGGCGGCGGTGAAGCAGCCCCACCGTTGCAAAGGTCTCCGTCACAACCCTGTAAAAGCTTTCTGCTCCAGGAACCTCTAAATTGCATGTGACTAAACTTTAACCATGATTCAGACACAAGATAAACAAATTATACATACCATGTGTATTTTTCCATTTACACTATAAAAATGAGGAGAGTAAGTCAAGTAGGCGACGTGTTCATGTTGGCGTCTGCTGTACCCGCTGCCGCCCCTGCCCCGCGCTCCTGCCTGCCTCCTGTACTGTATTCTTGCCCCACATCTTCACTTGGGCTGTTGCATTTTCTGTATTATCTATTGTTCTTAGATTTAATAAACTACTAGATTTGGGGATCCCCCTCATTGTATTTCAGATTTTGTATATGTAAATATGAAAGATAAAATTAGCTATCAGGCTTGAAGATAATTGATGTAGTTAAGTGTAGATAAATCTGATGGTTGATTATAGATTGTTGATATCACTGAATCCCCAATAATGTGCAATTGAGTCTACCACTGGGTTCATCTTCCATCAGGAAGGATGGAGCATTACTGTTGATCTCCTAGACTTGATGGTCAGGACGTGGCTGTGGGTTGCTAGGAGAACACACCTGCTCGCCGCCTCTCCAGTAACGGCCGCATCATCGTTTTCTTTCAGCGGGCGGGAGGGGAGACTGAGGAGGAGCCGACAGAGCCCCGTCTCGATTGCGCTCTCTGCACTCATCCTCACCACCGCTCTCCTCTATACACGAAACCCGCGAGCATGACTTAGGACATAATGCGAGGATGGCTTTTCCTTTCATTCAAGTCAATCATTTGTAAGTTATTTCGAGTTATTGGGATGTTGCTCGTGCTTCCCAACAACCATATTAGCTCTCGATGCTAGCCATTTATTCTTTGTTAACCTAACCGTGCAAACGGCACGAAAACTTTGAGTTTATTTCATTTTTATACCGAGTTCATATTTTTTCGTAAGAGCAACACTATCTTTAACATAAAAAGTCGGGCATTAGACAGTTCCTACCTCTGTTTCGTCAGCCTTTTCCGCCGTGTCCTTCGGTCGTAAAATTCCCAGCCGTCCAACCATATGTGCTAAGGCTCATCCTCGTTGAGTGGACTCGGTCCCGGTTTGGTGCGTAGAGGCTTCCCATCTGACACCCATCACTCAGTAGAGGGGCATTTTAGACAGAGCTTAGCCTAGCGTGACTAAGAAGGGGATGCACATGGAGACAGGTCTCTATCCCTGGGGTAACCAGCTGCATGGTGTCGCCACCACCTCTCAGTCGGCCCTAGTCCTCATCACTGTAAATTAAACCCCACTAAATTTACCGGATGGGATTTATTGGCATTGTTAATATTCAGTTTCATATGGATGCATGCTACCTGTTTCTCATTAAAAAGAAAGAAAAAAAAAACATTTTCAAAATTGTCGAGATGAATACAAAATTTTACTCTGAAACACGGGCATAACCAGTCCTGACATTGGAGGGTTCACTAAAGAAAAAAAATATCCAAAGCGCCTGGGTTTCCAATAACCACATACTTATATGGCCGCTTTACTTGAATATCCCGTTGTGATCATCTAGCTTATACAGACAGGAGTTAAAAGATTTAGCGGACAAACACCCCCAGTTAACCCGCCTCAAAACACTGGGACACATAACCAAGAACCCCCCTGGCTACGCCTGTGTAATAAATAATTGGCTGCAATATGGGAAATGCTGGTATAAGGGACTTCGAATTATAACTTGTCTTGTTGCACTTCAATAATAGCAAAAGTAAATATAAACTGCTTTGAATCAAATATTGTTTTAAAAATGAAATAAGTAATCATAACATTTTCTTGGCAAAACCAATCAATTAGATCGCGTCCTCCGGTAAATTTATTCCCTTACCAGTTTATAGCTAGGTCTGCTGTCAGATATGCCATTCAGGTTTGACATGTGATGTTAACGTTTTTTATCCTTACCTTGCAGAGTGCAAAGCTAACCTAGCACTCTAGCCACATTTGCAGGAGCGAGTCGACCCCTGGCTGAGGAGTAGAGCAGTGAGTGTCCGCAGGCTGGGTAAGTGGCTCCCTCTTGTGCTGAAGTCTTTCAGGCCCTCCTCACCCACCAGTCACCCCAGCTCCCATAACGCTATAACCACCTCACTCTCAGTCACTGTCAGACATGCACAACAACCTAGTCTGTTTGTTTGTTTCAGAGGTAGTGCCGGTCCCCGGCCTGTGTGGGTGAGTAAATGTTATTATGTTGGCTAACCCCTGTACTAGCGTTGCCCACCATGCAGGGCATATCATAGGGTTGCGTTTTCGGGTCTGGGCTCGCCCTTTTTCACACTGAGCAGCAGCGGGAGGCACCTGTGCCCAGCGCGCCTGTACCCGAGCTGCCTCACACTGCCAACTTTCTAAGGCACATACTAACAATATTTCCTTTCGCAGGGCGGCTACGCTGCCTATCACCTTCCGATGCATGAACGACAAATGCGGCGTGGATCCCCGAATCTCCCGCTTCGTGCTTCCCATCGGCGCCACAGTTAACATGGACGGAACAGCTCTGTTCGTGTCCGTCGGCACCGTCTTCATAGCTCAGATGAATGAAATCTCGCTTGGTGTTGGGGAGTACGCAACTATTGTGTAAGTTAACCAAACCTAGTATTCTTCCCATGCTAATTTGAATACCACCATGGAACAAATGATAGAGAGAAACGATGCTGATCTTTTCCGCCTGAAACTGAAAACTTGTACTTTCTTCCTTCCAGCGTTACGGCAACCGCTGCCAGCGTTGCCAGTGCCAGTGTGCCAAGTGCTGCACTTGTTCTCATAGTCATCGTTCTCACAGCCGTTAACTTGCCAGCCACGGATGTATCTCTTCTCTTCACCATCGACTGGCTTGTGTAAGGGAAAGAGCACTTCATATCACCTTATAATGAAATATCTGTGAACATACTCAATTTTATTCTTAAACAGCTGACCCTTTTCAAGAATCAACTCCCGATATCAAAGCCCCGTCTGACCACGCACGCCCTCCCTGCCTCCCTCCCACAGCGACCGGTTCCGAACCACGAACAACATGCTCGGCGACTGCTATACCGCCGCCATCGTGGAGCACTGGAGCCAGAAGGAGCTGCAGGCCATGGACGCCGAGAACAGCACCGAGACCAATCCCAATGACGTGGAAAAGGCAGCCGACCTCACGCCCCTGGTAACCCGCCTGCATGACACCGACCCTGATCCAGTGCCGCATGACCTGCCAGTGCTGCTTAAGGGCACGGTGAGATACTAACACTAACCGCGCAGGAAGCAGTGTCTGGGACTAAATTCCTCCGGCTCCTCATTTTTCCTCTCGTTTCGATTTTTTCCTTCTTAATTGGCCCGTTTCTCTCTCTCTCACATTCTCTCTCTCACTCTCCCATTCTCTCTCTCTCTCTCTCATTTTTTTCTCCCTCATTTTCTCTATTTTTTTTCTCTCTCTCCCATTCTCTATCTCTCTCTCTCCCTCTCCCCCATTCTCTCTCTCTCTCTCTCTCTCTCTCTCTCTCTCTCTCTCTCTCTCTCTCTCTCTCTCTCTCTCTCTCTCTCTCTCTCTCTCTCTCTTCTCCCATTCTCTCTCT